CCCCAAAACCCCAAAACCCCAAAACCCCAAAACCCCATCTAAGATATTTAAGAATGGGTTAACAAAATTGATAAAATGGAGAAAGCAGTCCAAAACGGAAGCAGTAAAGAACTAGTCAATAGTCAACCAGAGGTAGGGATATTATAGACTTGAGGTCTATGGGCCTTCACAAAGTGACCTATAGAGTTTAAACTCTGATTCATCATTTTTTACTAAGCTGTATATACTATACACAAGGTGACCCTCACCACTCACGGAATAGCCCTAAATTCTGTGGATGATGGGATCTATCGTTTTTTAACTTCCGGCCTTGGCCACATTATCGAAATGTTTCTTGGAGGCCTAATTAAGGCTTTATTCATACATTTTTGGAGTGATGTTATCTTATGTCATATAAACCCTAAGCTTTTTTATTTAAAATTAAAAGTATTCGTCACCTTAAGAGATAATACTATTGACTACCCAAGAATAATTTCAGAGTGTTTTTGAAAGAATTACTTTAGAAACTGGAGAAGATCTGACAGGCTTCTAAGGGGTATTCTTTAGCTTAATTATGACACAGATGATTTTCTACCTCTTTGCACCAGGTCTTGTTTCACAAATCCAAACATCAATTCTATATAGGAAAAAGTCAAATCTTCTAGATCGGAGAAGAAAGTATCTGAACTGCGGAAAGCACTTAATGGGTTCCTAAAGAATTTCAAATATGGGTTATACACAAAAACTTTTACTGCAGTGGCTTTTGGACTTCTTAAACCCAAGAACCTTCTCTCAGGCCTGATAGGAGTCATTTCCCAAGATACCTTCAACTTCTGCATGTTTTTAGGAACCTTGGTTGGAGGATACAAGTTGATCCTATGAGCTCTGAGAAAAATCAGAGGAAAAGATGACGGCCTAAACCCAATCATAGCCGGATTCCTCTCTGGGTTCTCTCTGATGTTCCAATCAGGAACTAAGGTTAAAAAGCTGCTGATAATGGCATTCCTTATGAGAGCTTTAGACTCCATTGCTCAGCTGCTAGACAAAAAGAACATTATCAAAAAGATAAAATACTTCGAGTGCTATATGTTCGGACCAGTGATCTCCTTCCTTGTCTATGTTTACTTCTATGAAAAGCCTATCTTTCCGCCAGGTATCGATAAAGCCTTCCTGGCTACTGCTGTTCCATCGAAGCAAGAGTTGGTACAGGCCCAACACATCTTCTTAAGACAAGGAATCAGATGGTTCCCAGGTGTTGTTAAGAAAATCTAGGAATAATTAAAGCTCATGCGTCAGCAAAATAATCAGTTTCAATATTCTCCAATACTCAGGGGTTTTGGGGTTTTGGGGTTTTGGGGTTTTGGG